CCTGGGCAATGCAGTGCCCCTTTAAGCTTACCTCATAGTCAGGATAATTCACTAGCATGTGAATTGTCAGGAATTCAAAGCGAATTTCAAATTTTAGACCATAATAGCTATTTTGAACTGGAATTTGAAAATCACTTTTAATTTACTTTGAATTCCCTACAGTTCAGGCTCTAGTGGATAACCCTGTTAACCTTGTAATGAGCCCGGCGGTCCTGGTCTGTATTATTGCAATGTAAGTTGCCATAATACAGACATTGACTCGAGTACAAGATGAGTGGGGGGTTTTCAGCACAAAAAAATGTGCCGAAAAACTCGTCTTATACTTGAGTATATACGGTATATGGTGTAATACTGTGATTCATGGAACCTGTTATGGCTTAGGTGTGGACATAAGTATAAGCTGGTAAAATGTGAGGTTTTAAAAAGGACTGAAACACAGTGGAAACAAATATATATATTTGTTTCAATAATTTAGTAGATATAACCCCAATGAAAACATTTATGCATGTATTATTCCATTGGGGTAATATCTAAAATCAGCTTGCCTGCCTCTTGAGTTAAGCTCCACTGAGCTAAGCAAACCAGGAAGAATCAGGACATGTCATATGATTGTCAGCCAGGGACAGGGTCGTCTTTAATATTGATTGGACCCTGGGCAAGCATTTGCTTGGGCCTCCTAGACCCTGTCCTTCCTCGCCTTCTCCCCCTCCATTACTTCATGGCATGCAATCACACTTTCCTCCCCAACATAGAAGTGGTACTAAAGTAGAGAGGACCCAAAGAAATACATGCAGATACACAGATATAAACACAGACACACATGTAGATATACAAACACATACACATATATACACACACTGACACACATGTAGATACAGACACACCAATACCAGGGCCAGACTAAGAGCCCAGTGGGCCTGGTGCTGACAATTATGACGGGCCTAATTACAGAATCATATCGACCAAAAACAGTAAAACACTCCCAAGCGTCATGTATCTGATGGAGATGGTGCTGGAGAGAAAGAAAACAGCAGCTATAAGAAAACACATACCCTAGGCTAATCTCTCACTAATTTATGTTTTCATCTTTCAAGTAAATCCATAACCCCTAACAGCAGTGTCCAATCAAGCAGGAAGTCAATGGGCACGGTAAAAGGGTGTGCCACTGACACAAATCACGTAACCTGCCAAAAGGGGCAAACATGCCCAAAAAGAGGATATGTCTGCCCAAAGAATTAGAAGGCCAGCCTGGTATGAATGCATGCCAGACTGCCTGCCAATCATGCAGCTGGCCAACTAAGGGCATACTATGCAGACAGCACCCTGAGCTTGGCATAAATGCATCTAATGATGCGCTCGCTCAACGCTTTCTAAGGACTGTCCCCTAGCACTTGCTGGTCCACTTGTCTACTTACCTTCTTACTAGCAGGCAGAAGCTCCTGGTATATAGTTTGGGAAAGAGAAAAGCCGTATGTAGTGAGTGTAGAAGAAAAGGAACATGCCACAGTGTTAGAGAGACCAAAGTCAGCATTACCTTAAAGGATCACTATAGGGTCTGGAACACAAACATGAATTCATTAACCTATAGTGTTAACACCACCATCTAGCCCCTCCTGGGCCCCTCATACCTCCATAAATATAGCAAAATCTTACTGTATTCAAGCCTGGAGCTGTAACTCTGCATGCTGTTATACTCAGGAAAACAAGCAGTCTGCTGACATCATTAGAAGTGGTGGCCTAATCCAATCACAGTGCTTCCCCATAGGATTGGCTGAGACTGACAAAGAGGCAGATCATGGGCAGAGCCAGCATGATTCAAACACAGCCCTGGCCAATCAGCATCTCCTCATAGAGATGAATTGAATCAATGAATCTCTATGAGGAAAGTTCAGTGTCTGCATGCAAAGGGAGGAGACACTGAATGTTTGGATGCATTTTAGGCATGGTGGAGCTCATGGTAGCACCGTTGACTTGGAGGGAGACAGACACAGGAGTAACAACACTTGAGGGAGGAAAGACCAGAATTTCAGTTTTGGTCAAGTTTAGTTTAAGGAAGTGGCAGCCATCCAGTTAGAAATAGGCAGTCAGAGATACTAGTCAAGAGGGACAGGGAGAGATCAGGAGAGGACAGGTAGATTTGCGTGTCATCCGCATAGAAATGATATTGGAAGCCAAAAGAGCTAATGAGTTTACCAAGGGAGGCAGTATAGATGGAGAACAGTAGGGGACCAAGGACTGAACCTTGGGGGACACCAACAGAAAGGAGTTGGGGAGAAGAAGCAGAGCCCTAGAAAGAAACACTGAAAGAGCGCTGGGAGAGAGCACCAGGAGAGAGCAATATCTATGTATGTATGTGAGTATGTATCTGTATGTGTCTGTCTGTATGTATGCCAGCATGTATGTATGTAATGTATGTCAGTATGTGTATGTATGCCAGTATGTATGTCTGATTGTCAGTATGTATGTGTGCTTCTATGTATGTATATATGTCAGTATGCATGTATGTCAGAATGCATGTATGTGTGTATGACTGTATGTATGTATATATGTAATGTATGTCTGTATGTGTATGTATGTCTGTTTGTCAGTGTGTATGTGTGTATCTATGTATGTATGTATATATGTCAGTATGTGTGTGTGTATGTCAATATGTGTGTATGTATGCATGTATGTGTGTATGCATGTATGTATGTATCTGTATGTCAGTATTTGTGTGTGTGTATGTATATGTCAGTATGTATGTGTGTGTAAATTAGCATGTATGTGTATGTATGTGTCTGTATGTCAGTATATATGTCTGTTTGTCAGAATGTATGTCTGTTTGTCAGTTTGTATGTCTGTTTGTCAGTTTGTATGTCTGTATGTATATATATGTGTGTGTGTGTGTGTGTATCTCCTTAGGCATGTGTGTGTGTGTGCATGTATGTTAGTATGTGTCTGTATATGTGTGTGTGTATGTCTGTTTCAGTATTTGTGTATGTTAGCATGTGTGTATCTTTCTTTGTGTGTGTCTGTGTATTCCTGTGGGCGGGATTTGGAGGCGGGCTCTGGGAGCGGTCTTGTCAGCGGACACCCGGGGGACCAGACCTTGAGCTGTGTTAGGGGCCCAAAACTTCTGATGGTGGCCCTGCATAGAATACACCCCTCCGACACCTATATGGATGTCAGAGGCAGACAAACTAACTTTAAATTCAGAGTTACGCAAAAAATCATTTCCCTTGTACCTTCCTCAGCAACATATTTCTTGTACGAAAATAGACTAAGGACCACCGGTCAATTATCAATCTAAAAAATCTAAATTAATATGTCAGATACCGTCACTTCAAGATGGAAGGCATCCGTCTTCTCAGGGACCTACTTTGCGTAGTAGACTGGTTCTCCAGATTCGATCTCAAAGATGCATACCTAACAGTCCCTGTTGCCCCAAGCCATCGTGCTTTTCTTCAGTTCCTATGGCAGGACACACTTTGGCAGTTCACCTGTCTTCTTTGCAGCTTTTGCTCCGCCCCTTGGTTTTTCACCAAATTGATGAAACCGGTCATGGCACTACTCCGTTCACATCATATATTTGGATGATATACTAATCATGTCTCAAGACTCACATCTACTCCGCACACACACACGACCTCTGCTTTACTTCAAAACCTTGGTTTTGTCATAAATTCCCAGAAATCAGATCTGGAACCTTCTCAGGTAATCCAGTTCCTGGGGTTTCAAATAGATTCTGAACAGGCAATTCTACAACTGCGTTGGCTCAAAATCAAAAATATAAAGAAGGACATTCAGAGATTACTCTCCTGCCAAAGCCCTCGACTACGCAATCTCGCACACACTATTGGCTTTCTTTCTGCATTGATCCAGGCCATTTTCCTGGGGCCATTGCACTACAGAGCAATGAAAAGATTGAAAACCTTCAACTTGCATCGCTCCACTTCTTATGACCAATTAATTTCTCTGAGGGACAAGGTTCGTATCAAACTCCACTGGTGGATATGCAATATGGAAGCATGAAACGGGAGATCGATCTTCGGATCTCAACCGGATTTAATCCAGGAATCCGATGCCAGCCTCTTGGGCTGTGGCGCAACTTGTGCCAAATTTATGGCCTGGGGACTCTGGTCTCATTCGCAGCAGGCCCTCCATATCAAGAGCTCATTGCAGGATCCTTTGTGATCCGCAGTTTTGCAAAAGACATGCTCAATTGTTTCCTAGTGCTAAGGATGGACAACATCTCAGCGGTATGCTATGTGAACCGGCTTGGGGGTTCCAGGTCCAAACCACTTTCCGACCTCACAAAAGACCTGTGTCAGTTCTGTCTAGACAGTTCTGTCACATTCACCTCCTACCGGGGCCCCTCACATTAGATCTGTTCATGTCACGTCTGATTCGTCAGACGGATGCATACTTCAGCTGGCTTCCAGACCCCCTATCCTCAGTGGTAGATTCATTTCTGCAATCATGGCCAACAAAGGGAGCCTATGCGTTCCCCACCCTTTCCGTGACTCAGCGGACCCTTCACCGGGTCAAAGCACAGGGACTCCAGATAATAACACCATAATAATAACACCTCTCTGAAGAGCCCAGACTTGGATACCCAATCTACTGGAGCTGTAGATTCTGTAGACTACTATCTTTAGACTACCCTCTTCTCCTTCCTCGATCCTTCGATATCCTCTGGAGTCCAGCGTGCAAATGCCACCCACTCACCTTACAAGGTCTCCTTAAACTCATGGCTTGGACCATTTTTGGGGATCCTGGCATGTCGTGGGACTTTCGCACATGGCTCAAGCACTCCTATCTTTCCTCTTTCCGCATGGCTGATTTGGGTCAGCTGCTGTTTGGAAAGGGACACTGATTCAGTTTTAGCACCTCTTACATTAATATTTAACTTCTTATCCTTTCTCTTCGATCAGGGCAAATCCTACAGATCAATCAATGTATTTTTGTCATTTCTGCGGCTCGTGATACTATTGATAATTCGCCAGTAGGGAAAGACCCCTCTGTTTGTAGACTTCTACGGGGTAAGACCCCTTACTGTCAGATATTCCAATTTCTGGGATGCTACCCTAGTTTTCTCCTTTTTGGAAACCTGGCCTTCTAACGAGGCCTTATCCCTACGCCAACTCTCTGCCAAATTGGCCCTGCTTTTGTGCCTCGTGTCGTTTCGCAGAGTTTCTGACGTTCAGGCCTTTGATTCTCACGCAGTGTTTTTCTCACCAGAAGGAGTAAAATTTACCATTACCAGGTGTACAAAGACAAATTCCTCATTGGTTTTCTATCCTTACTTCCCAGACAGACCGTCTCTCTGCATTGCCAGTTGTACCCATCAATACATTGACAGGACAACTAATCTACGTTCTCCTTCGGAACCGCTGCTCATTTCTTATGTTAGACTGCACAAGCTGGTCTCCTCTCCCATGATTGCATGCTGGATCAGATGGTTGTTCACTAATGCAGGAATTGACCAATCTTTTGGTGCTCATTCGGTTAGAGGTGCAGCCGCATTTTCTGCATTTCGTGTGGGCAGTTCTCTGTCAGATGTTTTATCTTCCGCAGACTAGTCCAGAGAATCCATGTTTCAGACCTTTTATTTCAAACCTTCGACACAGGCTGCTTTTTCTATTATAGAAGAGCATTTAAAAGCAAATATGAAGCCTCCTGTCTTGCTATAAAACTAGGGACTATTCTAGCTTAGGTGGCCAAATAATCAAAATTTGACAGGAGGCAAAGATTTTCCCTCCCTTACAATAGTTTTTTTTATCCCACCCTTCAAGGTAAGAAGGTAAGTCTCAAACTCTAATATTAATTTGTTCACTCCAGATTACGAGGTTAGTCGTATACCAGTTGATGTCATATACGCTATTGACTTACTGTGTGACTACAGTTCATTCGTTAGATTCTTTAATATAACTTAAACTCGGATTTTAATTCAAGTTATCTTAAAATTGCCTGTGAGTATTGAATTTCTCTTACCCAAGAGACCATGCTTTCACGGTTCTCTCTCTTTTTCTCCTAGTATGAAGCTTCGCATTGACTCTGCAGGGAGTTTCTAATCTGTTTGGTACAATTTGTTTCCCTAGTTGACTTCATAAGGATCTACTGGGTCTACGGTTTGTTGATAATTTTGTTTACAAGGCTGACGCTACTACAGTTCGGCGACATCAAGAAAGAGGACTTGGGAGGAGTGTGATGGCACTGTATATTACTGTTATGCATTCTGATTGGTTGGATTTTTTTACACTGATTTTAACTGTTTCTTTGCTGCTGGGAGTTTCAGTAAAGAAAGATAAGCAAACATTTGCCTCCTGTCTTTAATAAAATTTAGATTATTCAGTCACCTAATTTACAATAATCCCTAATTCTGTGTTCCGATTGGCCTTACATTCGAAATGCCCTTTGCATTTCCAACAATTCTCACTTTAGTAAATTACCCTATAATTGTTACCTGTGTTTCAAGGCACCATTTCCTAGGCAGTTTTTGTTGCTGAATATATTTCTTAAATTTCTGCCTATTTTGTCACAAAAAGAAGTCCTGAGAAGTTATACTACCTTTTCCCATATATATCATGCTAATTAAAATGAATATGTTTAAGAAAACATGTCTAAACTTTATCTATTTTATTAATGTTTGATTCCAATTAAGTGTCAGATCTAAAATATTAAACTATAGGGACCCAGGTCACTTAATCTCATTGAAGTGGTCTGGGTGCAGTGTCCCTGTCCCATTATCCCTTAAATGGAAAACGTTGCAGTTTCAGACTGCCTCTACTGGCTGTTTCCCTCTATTGTGTCCTGCAGTTTCACAGAATAAAACTCTGGGCGCTTCACACTCTGCATGAGGACATCCAGAATCTTCTAAATCCCCACAGGAAAGCACTGATTCAGTGCTTTCCTATGCAGAGGGCCTATGGCATGCTGCACTCGTAGGGTATGCGCATTAGGATCCCTCCTTGTGAAGACGGAAAGTGAAAAACTTTTTTTTCATCCTTTGATAGCTGCGGGGGCATAGGGACACTCTAGTGTTAGGGATACAGCCTTTTATGCCTAACATTATAGTGTTCCTTTAAGCATGTTCTGGTGGCTGTGTGTTATCTTTTTTCACCACTTGATGTCACTGTTTACATATATCTGAAACAATTACTGTGCCACATGCCTGCTTTTACAGTCAAATACTTCTGCAAATACAAATATCTGACTAACTACAGTGACAACGGAAAACAAATGTATGTATTTTTGTTGTTGTTGTTTTTTTCTAGTATCTATGCTGTTTTCAATAAACATAGTTTAGTATGCTAAGCCTTTTTATTATTAAATTAGTTTAGCCTGGTTTTTATTAAGATTGCTAAACAAAATATATTTTATGATTTTATTAGTCACATTTATGTATATGGCCATAAATTTAGCAAGTTTGAAAAATGCATATTAATATAATAATTTGAAACTGTAGTTGATACCAAAAACGTGTCTAACAAAAATGATAAAATATGTCTCTCTATTAAAACAGTGCTGATAAATTGGTTAGTTAAAAATGTCAAGCATCATTATTAACGCAATGCTACGTGGTATCATTACAGCACCAGTCAGACTGACTTTGGTTGTTACAGAATGGCGTATAGCGGTGGTTCCTGACGTGTAACAATGTTTTCTGAGCCTGTGGGGCTCAAGCATCAAACCTCTCGGCTACCTTGAATAATTTCTTAGCCTAACATGAGATTTGCTGCAGTATGCAAATCCCATCACTCCCAGTCAGTCACTAAATTACAGAGATTAATGGCACTTACAGTTCACAAACTCTTTAATAAACCCCTCATGCAAAAGTGTCCCTGTCCCTATTTCGATTCAGGGTCCCCCAGTTTCCAGTGTGTTTATAAAAAAACTAAAACTTTTCACTCACTCATTTACTGAGACTTCCTCGGCCCTGCATATATCTGAGCCTCCTGGAACATCATGGCTTCCTCATCGCTGCTCCAGTCCAACGCGCCTCATAGAAAAGTAGTAGGGAATTGATGCACATGCATTTATTGCTTTCCTATGAGTTACTGTGACCGCGTTTTACTCAGTCAGGGCAGCAGAACCACCTCTAGTGGCTGCTTTGAAAAATAACAGGCACATGACCAGACCACTGTATTGAGATAAAGTGTCTCGGTGACTTTAGTGCCCCTTTAAATACAGGTATACCTGATATACTCCAGGATGTAGTAAAGCCTATACTGACTAAGCCTGGACCTAGGGCAGTACGTGGGCTTTTCTGCACAACTGTCAGGTCAGCAGTCTTCCCCATGATTGTGATTCCTACTGAACCAGACTGAGAGAACATTTAAAGACTCAGAAACCCTTTGCAGTTGTTATGGCTTATTTAGCTGATTAGAGTGGGACACTGTGAGCCTGGAATATTGCACCTTTTCAAAATATTCTAATTTACTGAGATTGTGGATTTGGGGTTTTCATGAGCTGTAAGCCATAATCATCGAACTTATGACAAATCACAGCTTGAACTATCTTGCTTTGCATGTAATGCGTCTATCTCATATATTAGTTTACCCTTTTACATTGCATTACTCAAATAAATGAACTTTTGCACGATATTCAAATTTTTCGAGTATCACCTGTATGTTGTCAGTCTCATGGTACTGAGAAAGCCAAGAAGTAGCACCTAAGCAGCAAAAGTTAGCTCTTCCAATGCTGTGCTTTACTCGTGGTGGTTAATAGTGGTTACTTTCTGCAGTTAGCATGATTTAGAAACGTCCAAATTTCATACGTAAATAAGAGCGACCATCTAGTATAGCAAGTCTTAATGCCAGTGAGAGAGCCCCCCGTTGGATTAGTAATGAGATACTAATCTAATCAGTTTTGTGTGTTATTAGGATGTCTGATAATATTGTTCAAAAGCTGTTTAATATCGGTAATACGTCCCTTCAAAACCCTGCCTCGTGATACAAGCTGTGTGAAAGGTTCCTTTGCTAAATAGTAGCGCTGATCTAAGGTTTTGTGTTGTTAAATGCAATACCCATAATCACACTGATGCTGGACTGTGTAATACCCCTGTATATCAGATATAGTGCATATCGGCGAAATAGCCCTGTAACATCATAATTTGATAAGACGGGCACACATAGGATATACACTCACAAGCACAAAAATGGCAAACTTCTATTCTATAAAATAACTATACTGGCTCCCTCCCTTGTTGATTTGAGACTGTCATCATGGAGGGGATGGGAAGAAACCAGGAGGAGAGTCAGTAACCATATCAAAGCTGGCGCGTGCAAGCCTCCTGTAGGGAGAGCAGGCAGTGGCCTGCTGCCCCAATATAATTCATTAAACCAGAAACCATGTTGTTCATCACACTAAGTTACCAATTTCTAAAAATATAAGAATTAATGAAACACCATTTAAAACTCTGATAGCAGCAAGCCTCCACAGTCGACCCATAGCTTGTTAAAGGGACACTATAGTCACAAGAACAACTACATATTTTCTTCAGCCCCACAAAAGGATAAATAAAAATCCATAATAATAGATGTGACTTTTTAAAATAACAACTAAATCATCAAAAACAGGGGTATAAAAAAAAAAAAACAACAAAACTCCCAAACACAAGCTATGTCAGAGTGGATTCATTGGTTGTTTTGTAAACCAACCAATCAGAGTGAAAAGACAGGCAAGCCTTACCTCTCTCATGAATTGCATGGGAATATTCAGTGTTTCGAAAGCTCTGTGAAGCATATTCTTATTGAAACTCTTTGTCTAAGAGGTCATGCTTATTTATAACTCTAAAAATTATATTGATGTATTTTTCCACAATTAGAAACTGGACACATGAATAGATTATATTTGAAAATACTATAGATGTATGGCTAAGTTTTTTTTTTTTTAATCCCGGGTGGAGAATAAGGAAATCCTCCACCCGGGCAGCCAGCAATGTGTGAGCTGTGTCGGTCACAGGGCGCCCCTTGCTCCAAGGCGCCCTGTGCGGCCTCACAGCTCGCACACCCCTAAGGCCGGCCCTGGTTCCTCTCCGTGTCTCTTAGTGTACCTCACCCCTCCCTTCCCTGTCCCTAATTGTTACTCTCCCCTCCCTTCCCTGTCCCTTAGTGTTCCTCTTCCCTCCCTTCCCTTTCTCTTAGTGCCTCCCCATAGTATTCCTTCCCCCTCCTCTTAGTGTTCCTCTCCCCTTCCTTTCCTCTGTTTTTGTGCCCCCTAGCCCCCAATGTTTCTTTTCCCTC